CTGCAGTGAAAAGGAACATTATGTTTAGATAACATAGAGATAATTTCATGTGTTGAACTCCATGAAAATGTTGTTTTTGGCAACCAGATTAATTAATATAATCAATAAACATGTTACCTCACAGGTTTGGTCAGTGTGATCTGCTTTCCCATATTATACTGTATATAACTCATATATTTAGTTTTGCACTCAAGATTTTGCTATCAGTTTCAAGTTACATTTTACTTTCCCAGTTCAAACACATTATATTAAACCCAGCAGCCATGTGCACTGTATATATTATTCATGACATGCATTTCTGGACCTTTGGTGAGTGGCTTGGTCATAGCACTGTACATCCTGAAGTTTCACTCTGCATGTCATGTACTGTATCTACTGTAGGGCTCAGCTTGACAGGCACCTTGGGGAAATACAAATGGACTTTCCACGTTGAATGAAATCATGACCGACACATGAGTAAGAGGCTGCCCATGTTCCAGCTGTCTTATGTCTTCCCTCCGTGCTTCTTTTCTTTTGAAGGAACGCTGGTCTGAAATCCCATAATGCTGTTACTCACTGTGCATCTCACACACATCATAGCAAGCATCAACTGCAAGCTAGACCAGAGCTTAAGACTCTTAAGACTATGATCTGATGATCTTAAGATCCAACCTTTTTTTCTGTTGATTAGAATATGATGATATTGACTAACCAGCTACTGACACATGCTGGTTTGTCCCAACCTACTGGCAAACAAGTATGATAAAGTTTATTATTCTGTCCAGAAATCACAGCATGACTCCTCACTAGTGTGAGGGGAGCATGGACTGAGCTGAAGCTGCAAACTCAGCATACTGTAAACATTAAGCACACATGTTACGCATCGTTCATGGGCTTAACTAGATGGTAAGAAATAATATTCAGGGAAACAGCTATTTTTCCTAGCTCTGTACACAGAGACTCTCATAGACATTCATGTTTGAAATATAAATGATATGACATAATCTATGATATTGTAATATGATTTAAATGACATTAAATGGTCTAAGTCAGCAGTTCCCAACCTTTTCCAACTCATGGCCCATTTGAAAATCTCAAAAATGTTGGTGACACCCCATAATAATACAAGCATACAATGCATGTTTCCCATCATTGGCTTATCACAGTGATAAGCCTTAATACAAGAAGAAGAAAACATTGAACGGATAATTTCGTTTTAAGACATTTAAAACATTATTTGTATTTTTATTTTTTAACCGAAATTGTACTGTTTTGCAAATTATTTGTCCGCCCACTTGCAAGACCTTTGTGGCCCACAAGTTGGGAACCACTGGTCTAAATATTCCATTTATTTACACTGTGGTCACAACCTATCTAACTGAATAGTTGGGCCAAAAAATGCTCAACAATAATCCTAATAATAATAATAATAATAATAATAATAAAAATAATAATAATTCTTATCTGGATAGCTCTTTCTTTAGACATATGGTATCTGTAGAGTAATATTAGTCCCTGCATAAAATATTATGCATTGACTGCACTGTAGAGCATGTTCTCTATTGCTTGTAATACTGCAAAGAGACTTTGACTGGACTGTTTGGGTTTAAAAGAACGCTGAAGGTGACGAAGCATACCTAAGTTTTACATTATAAGGAAACATGATAGAAAAAATTCACTGTTTTAAACGACCATGAAGAGCATCTGATTGGTGCCTCATTTGTTTGCTGTAGTCCTGATCCACACATGCTAAAGTGGTTTATGTCTTTGCAAGGGATCAGTTCAGGTTAGAGTTATAGGTATATATTGGTTATGATTAAAGCTGGTGTAAGTCTTAAATAAAGTAATGTCAGCCAAAGTATCAGCAAAGCACCTGTAGTACTACAGAGGTAGGACTTAATTGATAAATTTGGAGTGTTTGGAGTCTCATACGCTGAAAGCAAATTCACAATATGAGACTCCTGAGCCTGGACTGTGGGTGTTCTTATTTGACTTGTCGATGGTGAGAGCGAGGGGAAAATACCGCATGAGGACGAACAGACGGTCACTGTCACACACTCCAGTGCCGTCCTGAAAGGTGCACTGTCAAGCTTCTTCAGGAATCTATTGATGAAGACCAACTGCCTGTAAACCCTGGAAGAGGAAACTACCTTATTACCATGCAAGTGTGACTGACTGCCAGTCACATACGTTACCGTGCTGCATACAAAACACTGCATACATCCAAGGCAACATAAATGAATCGGTGGCTTTAATCAGACTTCCCCATACATTTTCAACAGAAATCACATCTCTCAGCGGGTAATTTGATGAGACCTCTGCCCTATATTCTACTAGAAACAGTGGGGAGGACTACTGCTGGGTGCAGTGCGCTTGTCTAAATGCATCATATTAACTCCATTCATCCCCTCAAGTGCTTGTAGTGTGCCTGCATGTTCTACTCTTGTCTTTAGGGTATTTTAACTAAAGGAGGTTAAGCACACAGGCGCTCGCAGATCAGGGTTAGTGCCAGTAATATCTGATGCAAAAGTGTTTACATTGCATTTCCTATGCCAAGCAGTCTTTACTGTTTGTCTCAGCCCAGTAATGCATGTTTACAAATGCTTCACTTTATATTAAGACTCCCCATAACAATGGAAAGGTGAATGTCTGGAGAAGAGGATTGTGCGATAAGAAGAGAGTAATACAAGAAAACTCTTATTGGAGGTAAAAAGTAAACAAGCCAAAGAGTCTACAACCATGCCAACAGCTTTGTTAGGTTGTACTTATGGGCAATTTATACTTCTTTGTAGAATTGATGACATAAGTACGCCGTAGGCATGGCGTAGCTGTGGAACCTACGCCGTAGCCTTGTCCCTAGACATGCAATCAAAACATTTAGAGGACAGAGACCACAACAACTGTGACTGGTCTGCCTGGCAGCATTGCACTTCCTCCTAGCATGTCTCTCCATGCTCAATGGTCAGACAAGCACAGAAAGAAAGCTCTTTTCTGTGTTCCGTAAAAGTAACTGTTGTTCAACATTAGCTCCATCTCCAACATGATCCACTCAGTTTCAGTCACCATTGTTTGAAGTACACAAAGAGACTCTCTCTCTCTCCAATAGGTTTTGAGATATTTCAGTCTGAATCAAAGTGCTGGACCAACCGACAGACCATCATTTCCATCCCTGGAATTTTTTTTTATAGCCATGCTGCTAGCATGGCTATAAAAAGATTGTTGAGTAACATGTTCAGGGCATGCAGAAAATTATTATCCTAGTGCGCACACAGTACATATACTGTTTAATTTATAATATCTCAGAAAGCATTGATAGCTCTGTTTAAGGTCTCATGGGTTGGAATGAGTGAGTTGTATGAGAGACTGGTACATTTAATAGGACTTGCAATTACATCCATGGGGATGCCATTGTTTGGGAAGCCTCCAGGCATACAATGATGCCTGAGGGAGGAGGTAGTCATATTGAAGCTCATGGGTATTCACTAATCACCACTGCATCTCATGAGGAATCCTGCAAAATGACAAGTTTTCACCCGCTCTCTGTCAGAGTTCGCTCCGTAATGACATGTGGGAAAATAATTGCCATGATTTTATGTTATGACTCCAACAGAATCATTTCAGTAGGTTTGTGTCCGACATGGATGTCTTGCTGAGTTTTCAGTCAGAAATGATTATCCACCCCTGTTGAGCTCAGTATCACCAGCTATCACCTCCGCAAGGAAATCAATATATTTGTCTGTATAGGTGCATCGTTACTTCTGGCAGAATCCGTCAGGAGACTTAAATGACTTGACTGAACGGCTTTAACAGGAAAACACACTGATGAAATTCTTATCTCTGTGTCATTGTTGCTGTTGTTATCTGGCACTATCTTTGAGGGGATTTGTGGAACTCGCTGCTGATGTGGATACCTGACAGAGTAAAGAGTTTCCTCTGCCACTCTCTGCAATCGAGCTCAAGCACATCAGACAGCAGCCCTGAGCTTGAATGGCTCCACTTCACCTATGACCAGATGGATATCTACAAGTTAAAAAGCAAAAAGACTTAAAAAGAAATATTTGAAAAACTTGAAATGCAGCATTTTGTTAAAAAAAAAGTCAACTGACAGACTTTTATCACAATTATAGCACATTCTCAGATGATGACCTTCATTATGAGGGAAAATATGACCTTACTTGAAAACTGGCCAACTCTCATAGGTGCCATTTAAACCACTAGAATGTTGAAATACAGAGCAATTTTCATGCTTCTAAGCTGCACAAGCATCTGCAACTACATCACTCTCGATCTGTTAAAGCAACTATGATCAATAATAACAACAGATCAAATGACTATGTGCAATGTGACACCTAACTGTGCTGTGATTTCAGCTATATTTACTTGTAAAATGATTGCTCGGAGAGAAAGTTAGAAGCGACAGAATATGTTTCTTGTTTTGTAACACACACAGCCTCCATCTGGGTAACAGACTGCTGCTTTGCCTCTCTGCCACTCACTGAACAGAGTTCACACAACACCTCTCTGTGCTAAGTTGCCAACACTGCAGGCTGTAAACGCCCCCCTAATATCTGTTTGTGCCAATTCACATTGAAAGAGCATCGGCCAATGGGTCACCACCAACACTCAGCTGGCTGACCAATGGTGTAACTTGATCACTCAACCCTATCACTCAGTCAGTCATGGGCATTTGCGTTTAAAGGGCTGGCCCCTCTGTTGTGGTCCAGCCAAAAATCTGTAGTACGATTTTTTAAAAACTATAAATTGAACTTTGAAATGCTCAGAGCAAGAATCCTCACAATCCAACTATATCATCATCACCAACATTAACCAACTACTACGACTGACAGTAGCCCATGTGTATTAACTAAACTACAGTATATACTGCTAAAATGTCCCAAAATACAAGGGCAAAATAAATTAAGGTAAAGTAATCTTTAAGAAATATATGGATAAAGTCTTTGGGAGTATGAGATGAGGCTTCATGACCATAATAAACCTAAAGTTTCCCTCTTGTTCTCCAGGTTGCCAACCTTCTGCGACTGTTCCAGATCCCTCAGATCAGCTATGCCTCCACCAGTGCAAAGCTCAGTGATAAAACCCGCTACGACTACTTCGCCCGCACCGTGCCCCCAGACTTCTATCAGGCCAAGGCCATGGCTGAGATCCTGCGTTACTTCAACTGGACCTACGTCTCAACAGTAGCATCAGAGGGTGACTATGGTGAGACTGGTATTGATGCCTTCCAGCAGGAAGCCCGCACTCGTCAAATCTGCATCGCCACATCAGCCAAGGTGAGCCGCTCTATGAACCGCCAGGGCTATGAGAATGTGATCCGCTCCCTGCAGCAGAAGTCCAACGCCAGGGTGGTCATCCTGTTCACCCGCAGCGAAGACGCTCGTGAGCTGCTGGTGGCTGCTGCTCGCATGAACGTCTCCTTCATCTGGGTGGCCAGTGATGGATGGGGAGCGCAGGAGAGTGTGGTGAGGGGCAGCGAGACAGCAGCAGATGGTGCTTTCACCATTGAACTGGCCTCCTACCCAATCAGAGAGTTTGAAGATTACTTCACCAAGCTTAACCCGTACACCAACACAAGGAACCCATGGTTTAAAGAGTTCTGGGAGCACCGGTTTGGCTGCAGCCTCCAAGAGCATGGCTGCAGTGAGCACAGCCTGCGAGATGGAACATTTGAACAAGAGTCCAAGATCATGTTTGTGGTAAATGCAGTCTATGCCATGGCCTACGCTCTGCATAACATGAGGCAAGCTGTGTGCTCCAACACATCCAAAGTCTGTGATGCAATGAAACCAGGTAACGGCAAACGGTTCTACAAGGAGTTCATCCTGAAGACCAAGTTTGAAGGTAGGAAGAACAATCAAAGGAAACAGAAGTAAATGCTATTGTTATATGTACCTTTTTTTCATGTGATATTATTTTTAAATAGCTATGAATGGGATTAGATTAATTGAGAGAGAATGTTTTAATGTAAAGCAGATGTGGGTTGCAAATAGGCATGGCACTGGATTAAGACTTCAAATGATTTCCTCTGCATTCTGCATTGAAACAAGCTTTATAATTATTCAATTAGCAAAAGTAATCCAGGAATTAGCATGGAGAAATCTGTGGGAGAGGAAACTATCTAGGACATACTATTCTGAGAATATGTTGACGAATGAACACTCATATTTCTATGAGCTGAAATGGCAGGAAACCTGTGAGATTTACAGTATTCTACTACATCATATGCCAGCATTTCCAATTTTTTGTGTTGCCATATTAATGTTTTTTAATCATTAATAAAAACACTAGAATATACAGTTCTACTAGTGTAATGGTGGTGTATGGTAGGACATATTCACATAACTCAATCAGATAATGATATGACTCATACGTATTAGTACTGTAAAACCTGTGAATATTAGTGTTGCTGTATTTCTGCTTCCTATCAGCTCCATTCAGACCTGTAGACACAGAGAACATGGTGCGCTTCAACTCCGTTGGTGACAGCATCAGCCGCTACAACATCTTTCACTACCACAAAGAGGAGGGTAAGTTCGTCTACAAGAAGGTCGGCTACTGGGACCAGAACCTGACCCTGAACACCACCATAGTGTCCTGGCGTGGCCTCATACCACCCACCTCCCAGTGCAGTGACCCCTGCAAGAAGAATGAAATAAAAAGTATGCAGCCTGGGGATGTGTGCTGCTGGATCTGTATCCCCTGTCAGCCCTACCAGTACCTGCAGGATGAGTTCACCTGTGCTGACTGCAGCTTTGGTCAGTGGCCTCTGGGTAACTTGACTGGCTGCTATGATCTGCCTGAAGAGTACATCCGGTGGGAGGATGCCTGGGCCATTGGGCCTGTTACCATCTCCTGCCTTGGTATACTGTGTACTCTGTCAGTAGTGGGCCTGTTCTTCAAGAACAATGAAACACCTGTGGTTAAAGCAAGTGGACGTGAACTCTCCTACATCCTCTTGCTGGGGGTGCTGATGTGCTACAGCATGACCTTCATCTACATCGCCAAACCTTCTACTGCTGTTTGCACTCTACGTCGACTAGGCCTAGGCACCTCATTCGCAGTGTGTTACTCCGCCTTGCTAACCAAGACCAACCGCATCGCTCGAATCTTCAGCGGGGTGAAGGATGGAGCCCAGCGGCCGCGCTTCATCAGCCCAGCCTCCCAGGTAGCGATCTGTGGCGCTCTTATCTCCTGCCAGCTGCTCGTGGCCGTTATCTGGCTGCTGGTGGAGGTGCCAGGGGTTCGGAAGGAGGTGGGCCCGGAGAGGCGAGACGTGGTCACCCTCAAGTGCAACAGCAGGGACTCCAGCATGCTCATGTCACTCACCTACAACTGTATCCTCATCATCCTCTGCACTGTCTATGCCTTCAAGACACGAAAGTGCCCTGAAAACTTCAATGAGGCCAAGTTCATTGGGTTCACCATGTACACCACCTGCATCATCTGGCTCGCTTTCCAGCCCATCTTCTATGTCACTGCCAGCGACTACAGGGTAACTATATCTATGACAGATTGTTTTCATGAAGCATTTCTAATACATATTTCTAGAAACTTCTCAAGCCCACTCTTGTGGAAAAAAATGTAAACAAGATCTATAAATGACTTTCCCTTGTGTGTTTGCTGTTCCTAAAGAAGAAGGTGTCACTTTCACATTCCATTTGATCACCTTCACCCAGACTCATGAAAGGCCGAGCTTTCTCTTCATGCGGCTTGAAGAATCTTTCAAGACAAGAACAAAGATTCAGGAGGCAGATGAGACGTGAATATACAGATGGAAATAATTAATGACTGTCAAACTGATTCACTGAATCACAGCATTACTAAATGTTTAAAAAACCTAAAGTGTTTTAAAAAAAGGCATTGAAACCCTGCAGTATCATGACCTGTAGTAAAAATAATTGTAAGCAAGGACACTGAGTGCTGGCTCGCTTACTGGCTCTGCTTCCATAATAGCCAGGGGAAATATTAGAGTTTGCTGATTTGTCACATGGGGATAAAGTTTTAGCTGTTACACAAATGGCTGAGGGCTAAATGCAACCTGCATCACACCAATGTGACAACGAATAAATAGGTTGAATATGCATAACTATTACTGGACTTGTTTGTGATGCTGCAGCAGGCCAAAAAATTTTAATTTACATTTTATTTTGCTCAAGTAGAAAATGTATAGCTGCAAGGACGAATTAATCCATTTCACCATGCAGCGTAAAGTAAGACAAATAAGACAAAATATTGGGCATAAAGCTGACAGACCATGTAAGTTATGAGTTCTTTTGCCTTAGGCAAATTCAAGGCTACTGCCTCAGCATTTAGCATGGGTGTGCAACAAGGCCGTTATTGTGCAAACAGATGGGGGGAGGTCTAGGATCACACAAGCTTTGTATCATCATGAGGTACCTCAGGCTTTACACGTCTGTAGTGATCAGATCCTTTACCTTTCCAGATCCCCAGTGGGATTTATGAGACCGGCTGAACATTGTAGAATATAAGGCTTCATACTTGGAGAGGCAGCACACAGAGTAATTGAAAGAATGAGAGGTTTGGCAACGCAACAGAGACCTTGCGGCTTTGGTTCTGTGTGACACCAGTAATAATGGCTGTGGGTTCAGTTGCCACATTTAAAATTAGGGTTGGATAGCACTGAAATATTCTAATGAGAGACTAGCATTGTTGCCCAGTGACTCATCATGAACCCAAGGCTTCACAGATGGACACAGATATGCTCAGAAATCTTCATTGTCTTTATTTTATTAAAAGACAACATAGAGTGCCACAGGGATTACATATTTTTGTGGGCCAACCCAGGGGTTAGCATCACCCTGGTTCCCTTGACAAAAGGCCAGTGGGATTTTTACATTGGCTTCTAGATTACTGCAGATAATAAGCTCTGAAACAAAAGTTTATGATGCTTAGACATTTTGTTTAGCAGGATAATCTTCACAAATGAACACCACATTTATGATTTTTAAAGCCTAAATACACTCACCAGAGGTAAAAAGCTAACGTTAGGCTATAAACCACCACAGTCGCATGACTTCAAAGTCACCATGAGGGCCTAAATTCCAACTCATAGTCTTACTTAGTATGTTTACCTCTTCTACAAAAGCCTTTCCTCATTCAAGGATAATAATAGTTTGCAAAAGTGGTAGTATAAACACAACAAGGCTGTGAAGGTGGACTGGTGAGTAGATCAGTGTAGTCTCATTTACGTAGATACTTGTTAGCAACCATCTTTTTTAAAGAGATGTAGAAGCTTAAAGTAATCACGACTCGGTTATTTACTGACGTATTTTATGTTGTGGAATAAAATGTGAAAATTGTGCTTGTGTTAACCACAGACCTTATTTCAGTCATCAAATCAAAAACCCATAACGGAAGTGTTAAAAGGCTAACTAATTTTAGGACTCATTCCTGCAGCACTCTATTATCATTACAGATATAGTGAGTTCCTGCGACATGTGCAGTATACACTGGTTAATAATACATCCATACCTCGACTGTTAAGTGGATTTTTAAAAGATTAGCTGCAGTAAATTAAAACTCTGAATCATAAAAGGCCATGCAAATATCTGTTGAAGAACTCAATTTAATAATAAAGCCAGTAATATAAATGTAATGAAAGTTTTAAAAAGGCACTAAATAAAGTATTAAATAAAGTAAAGAGTGTAACCTCATTCTCTTTGCTGTCAGTTTTAAAGTATGAACACAGTAGGGTTCTCACAGCACACAGCATGTCCTATTGCTGCTTGATAATTATTTGTGTCAAAAGCTGTTAAATGGAAATAGCTGCTAGAAAGACACTGTTATGGCAGAGAGAGATAAGGAGCTGAGGACAAAAGACAACTGAAGTAATATTACCTGCAGTCCTGGTGGTGTTTTCGTCAGTTATTTTTGAAACTAAAATGTGTGAGGACTTCTACTATGCGGTGCTGTCGTAGCGCGGTATGTTTAGCAGGGATTTCACTTCATGCTGCGGTTGAGCAAATAGAAGTTCCTGGACTGCAGGGGTAACCAGTGGGGAGGGAAGAGATGGTGCTCAGGAAGATGACCCCAGCAGTCAGGTCACATTAGCTGCTGAAATATGACTAACAAGAGCCTGACTTTCCAGGACAACCAGCTGAGCTTATCCCACATTCTTCTTCTTGTCTCATATTCATGCACATACAAATACACAATTAGAATTGCTAACATACATAATTGGAAACTTCACACATGCATACATAATTAAAAATGGAAATGTGGCTAATAATGCAAAACTAATATCTCTATGAAACATAAAATGACATTTTTTGGTATGACTGCAGGTTGTACCAGAAGTATTTTTGTGATTGAGAATAAAATAAATACAGTTAAAGCAGCAACAATAAAGATTCCAATAAGTGTGAATAAGGCATCGTTAGCTAATTTTAATAATAAATAAACTGATAATAGGTCAGTGTTGTGTTTACAGTATGTTTCTGCTGCCATCAGCCAAAAAGATAACCATTGCAAGTTTAAAAGCCATCTGACGCAGAGTACATTATAATCATCTAATGTTCATCATTAAACACACACACAAACTGTGGACTTGTAGATAAGCTGTGACTCCCAAGCTGAGGTGGGTGGATGAGGAGGGAGCTTTCAGGGTGCTAAAACACACTGATCTGATTAAGAGTACATATACATGTAGGGCACAGAATATACAGTAGGGTCACAGTGAACAATTGCTTTCATTACCATTTAAAATGCTGATTATTTTCTTTATTAAACAATTAATTGTTTGGTCTATAAAGTGTTGGAAAAATGTGAACAACTGGTTGTCACACTGGCCCAGGGTGGTATCTTGAGAAGTCTTATTTTGTTTGAACAACAGTCCAAAACTCAAAGATTTGTTTACCATCACATAAATCAAAGAGAAGAAATCTCACTATTAGGAAGCTGCAAACAGTGCATATTTGGCATTGTTGCAGGAAAACATTACTTAAGCAATTCATCAGTTATCAAAATAGTTGCTGATTAATTTTCTTATATACAGTATTTGTATGTACATATATGTGCATGTATATATTTGACACAGAAAAAACAAAAACTTTGGAAGGTTTTGGAGTAACCAGAGCAGCAAAGAATAAAACTGTGAGTGAATTGGTTTGATCAAAGGCTGCAGAGAAGTAACAGGTGTATTTGTTTGTGTGTGTGTGTGTGTGTGTGTGTGTGTGTGTGTGTGTGTGTGTGTGTGTGTTGTACAGGTGGCCTTTGAACAAACTTCATTAGTGCTTTGAAGACAAAAGGAAAAAAAAAAAAAGTCTAAGTGCAGCTTGATGTATTCATCATCACCCACTCTTCTCTCCTCACAGGTGCAGACCACCACCATGTGTATTTCCGTCAGTCTGAGTGGTTCGGTGGTTCTCGGCTGCCTCTTTGCCCCCAAGATCCACATCATACTGTTCCAGCCCCAGAAGAACGTGGCCACACTCAGAGTCACAGCCAACCGTTTCAGTGCCACAGTGTCTGCTTCTGCCTCCGCTCCCAGCTCCAGCTACTCTAAAGGTATCCAGAAACAAACTCCAGCATAAAACCATCTGTATGATGAATGTTACTGACTGGAAATTTAATCTTGAATTTTGATTGTATGATAGAAAGATTTTTTTTTTTTCATGTTACTTAATTAAACATGAGTATTAGCATAGAAACCTGAGAATGAAAACTGGACCATATTGAAAGTTTCTTTCTGCTTGTTTCTCTGGTTTTGCATCAGCCTGGCTAAGCAATTAAAATCCAACCATTATGTTTCTTTTCATACTGGATAAGAGCAAGTCTTATCTAAAGCTTATTAATGAACTGACGAATATTTCACAGCGCAATCTTCATTAATAAACACACACACAATGTTTACATAGTGCACTCAGTGTACCATTTCTTTTTTTCCAAGCTAGGCGAACTCAAACTATAGCTGTGCATTAAAAGGCTTAAAAATGTTTATTTTCCTGTTATCTCATCACCTGCACTTGAGATTTCTGTTGTCTGAAAAGAACACGAGTTTTTACATTAGTAAAATCTACTCCATGACAAGTAGAAGTCCTGTATTTGAAATCTTACATAAATATAAGTACAGAAATATTTTCATCAAAATATAGGCTACTTAAAGTATCAGAAGTATTATTAAGCAGACACTTTCCTTGTTGTTGTTGTTATATATTTATACTGGATTCTTAGGTCACCCTTTAATTTACAGGCTGTTAATTATGTAGTAATTATTCATATGTAAGAAGATTTTTACCGTTCATGGCTAGTCAAGCTCGAGCTAATTATAACTGCATTATTGAGTGATTTAATCCCTGTGTGTCATATTTTATAAACTAGTTTCTGTAAGTAAATTGGCAAAATGGAGTTTCCAAATGAATGTATAAGAGTGAGAAGTACAATATCTCTCTCTTCAGTTTTGTGGGGTAGAAGTACCTCCATATTGTACTTTAAGTATATTTGAGTAAATTTACTGAGTTATTTTGCCACATGTCTACGACCATGAGATCCACTCTACTCAGCACAGACTTTTAGAGGCCAGGACTGACTATTATAATTTTGCAGACAGCCTTTATCTCTGGTTCACAGTTCTGTTTCCAAACAGTGACAAACTCTCGCCTGGCTAACATCGCTGGTTTTTATTCTCCCAGGATCAGCCTCTAACTACGTGCCAGCAGTTTGCAACGGCCGCGAGGTGGTGGACTCTACAACGTCCTCTTTGTGAAAACAGGTTCCTCACTAAGCACAAGAGACCATCCCACCCTCAGACACCCCTTCATCAAACAGGCCTGTGTATGATGGAGTGCCCCCCCTCCCCTCCCCCTTCCCCTCCCCCTTCCCTCCCTATGCCATCCAACATGCTGCTGCGGAGAGATAACTCTGTCTGGGTAGACTGACTGACAGTGGCTAGGGTAACTTTGACTGTGAAAGCTAAATGACGTTCCTACAGCGAGCAGTATGTATCAAATGTAAAGCCTTTTTGTATAGATTTAATATGCTGTGATCTCTTTGGTTTACAGATAGATGTGATTACATGCACCGTGCCTTGTCCTAAAGAGTCTTGTTGTCAAATGGGTGGTTGTGAAGCAATAGTGTTACACAAAACAAAAGGCTGTTCTTATCTTGTCCTTAGAGTGCTGTGAATCTATCCAAATGTTTTAGACAATGACAAAAAAAAAAAAAAAAAATGCTATGAAATAAATTTAGCCATTTCTGTTAAACAAAATATGTGACTAACAATAGTGAACGTGATGAAAACTAGGCAACTAGACAATATAAAGGACATGTGTTAATGTAGACTGGTGTAACAGTGTGTGCTTTCTTGTAATTTATGTAAATAAAATGTTTTTTTAATATTAAAAGATTAAACATCGCAGTGTTTGGATCCACACTTGCAGTTCTTGACACTATTCAAACTAAATGCAGCTATTCAGAGACAATAGTAATGAGCTTTTTGCACACAGGGTTTGAGTTTGTCCTCTTCAAAACCAAATTAACTTACTTTAAAATGTCTGTTGTTTTAGTTGAATCAGTTCATGGGATTGCCTCTTCTAATTTTACCAGAGTTAAAAAAAAACAAAAAACAAAAGTGAAGGTGAAGCTGAAGATGTTAAGTTTGCGTTAACTTTTTTTTTTTTTTCCTCCAACAGGTGCAGCATGAGTTTTGATTCTCCTCTAATACCAAGACTTGTATTTGGTGCTCAGATCTCTAAGCTATAACTACTGATGTAACTACTAGTTGAGTATGTGAAATTATACATGTGCAGTGCCTATAAAAAAAAAGTATTCACCCAAGTTGGACTTTTTCATCTTTTATACTGATTGGAGTTTCCTGATATTAAATTGTAATAACCATCTGTAAACAACCTGCCCACTGTTTGTCCGGTCTGTTTTTGTGCGTTAAATGTACATATAGTGAACTTGCAGTCAACTCAGACTTCACAATGGACTGTCACTGTCAATGTTTGACTGTAAACAAATAGAAATATTGTTTTTCCCTCCTAACATCTATGTTATGTACGTGATATATGATGAATAAAAGAACCAGTGAAAAGGAGTTACACTTCTGCCAAAGCCCAAGAGGACACCTGCAGGAAAACTGAAGCAAGTGCAAATGCAAAATTAAACAGGCTTTAATTAATTAATTAATTAATTAATTGTCACCTCTGATATAACATTGTCATCAATAATGGCTAATATTCCCCAGTATGTTACCCTGATGGTTCACTCTATTGAATGTAATTAAAAGAGTTCAGTACACTTATGCTACTGTAAATTCCATTTATTCATAGCTACAGTCAAATCATATAAGCTACCCAATATCTGATATGCCCTGTTTCAGTCCAGCTGTTTAATGTCTTAATTCTTGTTAAACCTCTTTTGTCAGTTAAATTTTTGTAAGATTTAAATGATCCTGCAGGTGCTCTATCAACAGAGATGAATGATTCTCCTGTACAGTTAATGGCAATTTTACGTTTGGCTCAGACAGGCCGACAATAACCTGTAGAGAAGCAGCTACAGGTTGGAAAAAAAAAAAAATGTGTTAACTTTTCCCAGACACTTGGACAGAGAAACTGTCAGCTATATATATATATATATATATATATATATTATTAAGTCAAAATAGATGGATCACAAGATGACAAGACACAAATCTTGGGTTGAGTTTCACAGCCAACACCTGTATTAACAACTCACTCCACAAAGGAGTTTTTTAAAAATACAAAATAAGCTGGTGGATAAACAGTGATACATAAGCAGTTTTTAAAACTTTAATTTACAAAAGAATAGAAACTTAACAGTCCACTACTCAGTCATCTTTGCTTCCTCTGGATTAGGAGGTTTCCTTTTGAGAGGAATAACATAGATCCCATTCTTGGCCTCTTTTAGCCTCCACCATCGGCCCAACCTGAAGAAATGCAAACAGAAATGGAGAGTCAAAGGTAAAAGGTTAAACAGACCACATCATGATCAGAGAATCAGAAGCAAAATGTGAAACAGAAAGGAAAAGGGATAAAATCCTGTTTTATGATGCACTCTGCTTTGCAGTTTCAGACTCTAGTTAAGTTTCAAGATGAAGATGTCTGAATATAAACATTAATGGTTAAACATTTCCCTGCGGCGCCTCAAACCTTTCTCCATACCAGCTGTTTGAAAAGAGTGAATCAATGTCCTTCAGACACTGACGTCAGAGCAAATACCACCTAAGTCAAGTTTGGATGCAGCTCCCAGTTTGACCTGATGAAACTGATGGTTGGGGTATTACACAAGTTCCTGGAAATGACTGGAGTCACTATCCTTCAGGTTATGATCAGTGCTTTTATTAACTTCAGGCAGCAGAAAAGGTCTTGTAATGAATTCAATCTGAAAATCAAATTTAAACCACATTTTTGAGTTGTTTTAAATCAGATTACGGTCAGATTTGTGCAGATGGGTCTCAATTTATTCATCAAATCAGATGTGAAACTCTCTTTAAAAGGTCACTAACAACCACTGATGTCGCATTCAGAGAACGGTGAGCTGGCCGGGCGAGTAGCATGAAATATGGCTATATATAGTATAATTACTTGTCTGGTGAGCTCTGCAACATGACTTCACAACTATGGCATATGCAGGCTACCTTTATCTAGTCTGTATCTCACAGTTGGAAAATTATGTTTGTTTACACTGAGCTCAGTGAAGAGAGTTAATCTTATCCCAGTGAGCTAGAATCTATAACCTTACAATCTGTCACATACTGTTTTTTTACTGTTTAATTTTCAGGTATGTGGCAGGTTTCTAATTATCCACTTTATGTTGTAAATAATAAAACATAACATCTTTAAAAGACATTTTCTTGTATTCGGCTAAATGAAAAAGACCTAACATATACATTATCAAGCAATACATTTCCCAAAGTAAATAACTATTCTTGAGTGTCATTCAGTCAACTGATGTCTTTGCACTGTGTCAGAAAACTCTGAAACAATATAAGTAAAATGCATTTTCATCACATTTGGCAGAGGCTGATAAATTGATTGAAACTGCCATCTAGTGGACATTTAATTCACTGAAAGTGAACCTCTACAGACATTAATTAGTTAATGGCAACTCTACAGGAAACATGAGCATTAGTTCAGTTACCTGTGCTCCTGTCCAACTCCTGCCACCAGGAACTGACCGGCGCTCGAAAACTTAAGACTGTTGACAAAACCGGGCTGAGAGTGAAAGCAGATGGAGAGACAAAATAAGATATTTTGAAATGGCAAATGAGGAAGCTGCCAGGAAAGTATTGGAAATGATGTATATACACACACATCTTATGCAGATGTGACCTTTTTACAAAAGAGAGGAGCAGGTAAGAGCTTACCACTGGGATGCTGAATAGAGGCTCCAGCCCACGGTAATTCTGGCCGCACTTCCAGAGCTGCACCTGTGAGTTGTGTGAACCTGTACAGGAGAACCACTGTTACTTTGTTAACTATAGACAGCAGAGCATCATAAGTACAGCTTATGTAAATACAAGTGAACCCACTGTTGTATTTGTAAGTGTGTAGGACACTTGATCAGGACCAATGCATTAATTATGTTGATTACATTTGCAAAACAGTAAAAAGGGTTAATTTAATGCGTCCTACACATATCAACGTGTGTTAGTAAAAGGACGGCAAGGAGGACTCTCACAGCCAAAGGCACCTGAGGCGACGGTATCTGAGTTGTGAAGCGCTGCTACTGAAGCGACCCAATGAGGCTGCTGCAGCTCTGCATCACCATGGCAACCGTGAGCCTTCTTCACGGTGCTGAGAGGCTTCTTCTTGTTGACGCTCCAAAGAGACACGGAGCTGAGGTCGTTCAGAAAATTGAGAGAGGGCACGGAGGAGACACATGAGTGGATCTGTAAGCACAATGAGATCCCAGAAAATTAAACTGCAACTGATGTCTTACCCATCATCAGCTCCTGTTATCATGTGCTCCTCGTTTATGAGCTGGATACAGTCGATCGAACCCCTGTAGGAGGACAGAATAATAAAGTAGCGGATGATGTCAGTCTTTCTGTAGGCATCATAGGAGGTTATGACATATACTTGAATATTAGGAATAGAATCACTTGTTCTCTACCAAAATCAATTCTGCAGAATCAAATAAAACTATTCTGATTTCACAAAGTTCTGGGATTCTTTATAGATGTTGGACAATGAAAATTAAATAGAATTCAGGAGATTTTTCTTTTTGTTCTGGAAACCTATACTACGCTATGCTATAATATATTACACTCCACTCTACAGCGCTGCAAAACCAAAATGTGGTAGCAACATATTTGGTCCAAAAAAGCATGTAAAAGTAGCAAGATTTAGAAAACAGAGGTCCATTATCTTGGTAGCTGAGTTTGTCATACCACAAAAATAACAATGGCAAAACAATAGCTAAAGCTAATCACAATGGAGAACAGGAGCAACACCAGATAAACTAGACCTGCTGGAATCTAATTACTCTAGCTTAGCAGAGGTGCATTAACTGTAGTCTCTCACTCTAATGAACTTCATTAGATTTGATGTGATTGAGCTTAAATCACTTAATTAATTAAATCTAATCAATTAAAATATCTTGTTAAGTTGTTTCAAATGGACAAAGTTGAAGAAGAAAAAGGCAGACACTTCACGTTCCAAGTGCTCTCTGGAGTGCAGTAACTATTGCTACTGATGCTTTCTAGAGGGATAATGGTAAGTAATCAAAAAGTCACAAGCCTTCAGAATTCAATCTTGTTTCTCAACTTCACTGTTTCTGTAATTACTGATATTTGCCTTTACAGTCAGGATATTATAGTATACTACACTACATTACAATATACAACAATAACTTAAAGTATTCTACACTAAAGTATACTGTATTACACAATAGTATACTACAGTAAACTATACCAGACTACAGCCTTCCACACTAGACAATAGTGTACTATACTACTCTACACTTCACAACAGTATACTATGGTACATTACCATACACCACACTACAGTTTACTTTATATTCTACCAGCAGCAGGAGGCTTCAGTAGAACATTCTGTTGCTACTAGAAAAATATGGCCAACAGACAGGAAGAGACTCACTCATGGCCGTGGAAGACGAGCTGAGACTCCTCGGCTATCTTCCACACCCTCACGGTGCGATCCCGTCCTCCCGCGGTCACACAGCGCTCGCGGCTCAGACTGTCCAGTCCTGTGATAGAATCCTGATGCCCAAAGCTACAGAGATTGACAATCACAGTTAAATTCACATATTCAAGACAAATGCAAGTGTTTGGCAGTGACACAAATGATCTTCTCAGTTACTCACAGAGTTTCCACATATGCATTCTCGTCCACATTCCAGACCTTGATTGAGCGGTCATGAGATGCGCTGTAGAGATCATGAGTTCCCTTCCTGAATGAAAGACCCTGAGAAGAAAAAGACATTTATATAATTCACAGGAAGATCTCAGAACTACGGTAAAGTCTATGTACCTGTTAAAATAAAAATAAAATAGATGTATGCAATGGAGAGAGAAAGAGGGAAAGCATACCGACACAGGGCCTTTGTGTCCTGTGAATTTATAAAGATGTTTACACGTTGCTGCCTCCCAAATCATAATCAGTTTGTTCATGTCTCCGGTGGCCTAAAAAGATGTGGAGAAAGTGGGCACTGTTACCATATGATGAGGCTCTTGGCAAGACTGACTCAGGTTATGCAGGTTTCCCAAAAAACGGACAAAAGCAGAATATACTGAGAGAACACTACTCACCAAGTATTTTCCATCTGATGATACGGCCATGCACAGGATGTGGGCTGTATGTCCAACATGGCGATCCTCTGTACCTTTCCTTCCACCGTGTATTGTATGCAATTTCTTCCCACTCTCAACATCCCCTGAAGTTGTAAGAAAAACAAAACTGATCACAGTCTGCAAAATCAAATTATGTGCTTTCGCAACTATAAGATAAAGGCGTCTCAGTATTTCACTGTATACTAACACTTAATGATGGAGCAGTCTTTGGCAGCAGAAAAGATGCACTTGTCATCAGGGGTGATGACCAGACAGGTAATTGGAAGTTTGTGTCCTCTTAACACTCGGATCTCTGAAGCATCTGGTGGTATGAGCTAAAATGCATATCATCAAATAAAAGTAAGTTTATTTATAAACACTTTTCCCCCACCATGTAAAAGTAACTTAAGAAATGAAAATTCCCACACTTACATCTTTGGCAATAAGTCGCTGGAGTTTTCCTTTCTGTTCAAGCTGGGGAGAACCACATACACACCAAGATCAATAACATAGACCAATGTATGGTAAATGATCTTACATATGAATTCCACAATGTAAGTCATTCTTACCACTTCTTCTTCAAGTCTTCCTGCAATCAGGTCACTTTCAAAGTCGTCTTCCTCTGCTTTTCTTTCCTCTGGTGAGAACAGATATCCCACAATAAATACAGTACATACACACTGACTGTAATTTTAAACCAGCATGCCGCATGGATAAAACAGGCTTACCTTCGTCCTTTAGCTGTTCAAGGTAAAGTTTGGCTA